TGTATAGTCTCTTTTAAAATCTGTGGTATGACGCACATCTTCGTTAATAATCTGAAATCATTTTTCATAAAATGGAATGTAATAAATATAAATTATTTACATTCTCCACAGATGAAAACTAATATTAGAATTACTTGTCTTCATTTTTCTCAATTGAGGCATGGGCCATGTGTAAGCTGGATATGTATTTTCGCATTAGAGGTAGCAATAAACAACTTTTTGTGATGAATCAAGTTTTATTCCAAAGATTGTTGCATTATAAATGTTCTTATAAAGATTTTCAAAGCTTACAATGATTCTTAGAATATGAGAGAGGCCAGAAATACAGAATGAAATTATAATCAAATGATGACAGAATCAAATGATGATAGAATCACATGATGATAGAAATATGAAATGCGATCAAGTTGCTCAGAAATAAATATATTCTAATGTGGGCCCATAAAATATACATATGTACATATGCTTAGGTAAGCAAAAGAATGGCATTCTTGATAGTTTCATAAATATTTAGAGAGACTGTGGTAAAATTTACTACCACTATTATTATTATTATTATTATTTTCCATGATTTCTGGTATGTACACATTTCTTTCCGGGTCCCGCCCAGAAACCTAAGGTCAGAAATGGCATCATGACATTTCCCACTAACCAATTAAAAAAAAAACACAAACATATTTTACATATATAAAGCCCTTCGTAAAGTGTGGGCTGTACTCGTGAGAACATTTTTTGTATCTCTTTGAGGCATGGACTTCCAAGAATTCCTCCAATTAGTCTACCGGAATCTTTTCCAACCAACCCGAAGACTCCAACTACAACAGGGATTGCTGATGTTCCCATGTACTACCCTTTTGAGATTTCGATTTCAAGGTCCTTTTATTTTGATGGCTTTTTGAAAATCTTCAAAGATCCATTGTAGTCTGCAGGGACTGCCATATCAATAAGGAAGCACTTTTTTGTTTGCGGTCTCTAATAACAATGTCTGGGCGGTTATCCTGGATTGTTCTGTCTGTGTGTATTGTGTAGTCCCATAAAATTGTAACAGGTCCTATCTCCGTAACTGGGTCTGGGTGGTGTTCATACCAATTTCTTTCAGTTTCCTTCCCGTAGAAATTGCAGATTTTCCAGTGTAGATATTGGCCCACTCTGTCATGCCGGGTTTTATATTCAACGTGATACAAGATGATGAATTGTTTCTGAATATTTATCACAGACTCTGTATTTTGAGCTAACACAATATTTTAGCATGTGTTCTTGATAAATTTCTAGTTAACAAGCATTGGTCCAGTGCAGCAAGGATAAAACCTTCCGTTTCACCTTTTAACCCTGCACTACGTAGCCACTGATGGGTATGGGTTTTGTCTACATCAGCTTGTTTGGTACGGGCAGAGTATTGGTCATGAAGCGGTTTATTTTGTCACTGTCTCTGTATCTGGTCGGTTGCATTTGCTTTTGCTTTCTTTTTCAAGTATTTTGCAGCTACAGTCAGTGTATTGTGCTTACTTGTATTTCTGCACCCATTTGATAGTCCATTATTATTATTATTGTTATTATTATTATTATTATTATTATTATTATTATTATTATTATTATACACAAGCCTAGGATGAAATCAGTTATTAATAATGGTATTAATGAGTAAGAGAGCCACACGCCAATAAAGTGACTCTTGAGGACAAATATACAAAACCTAATATATCAATCATGAAACGTGGTTTGATAGAGGTATACCAAGCACATGCATCACAGACAAATGTACGCGATATAGTGACAGGTTTTGATTAAAGCAACACGTGGACTCCAACTACAACAGCCATTGCTGATGTTTCCATGTACCACACTTTTGAGATTTCGATTTCAAGGTCCTTTTATTTTCATAGGTTTTGATTAAAGCAACACGTGAATTTACGAAGTGAGGTCCCAGTTAGAAATACCTTCAGCTAGGATAACTCAATTTGCTTAAACAGTTTCGGGATAAGTGTTCCCAAATATCTACATGTGACACCCAAGTCGCCTTCGCTGCCTCGTCTTTCAAATTTAAAAAGGAACAATTTGTCACCTTCCAACCATGATGCTCTTTCGCTACGCTCGCTCATGACCAGAGATGTCGAGTGCGTCAGCTCCTAGGAGACATGCCGAACTGATTAAGATCAGGTAACTGACAAGCAAATCTGTGGTACTGGTCGGGATATTTACTGTAACCCACTTTAATTCACAAAGGCAAAACATGTACATATTAACAGCTCCAATTAAGTAGGTATGCGAGCCATATTATCATTATTGTTGTTTTTATTATTATTATTATTATTATTATTATTATTATTATTATTATTATTTATTTTATTTTATTTCTGACTTGTATTGTTTTCTGTCTGGGTCCCAAACAGAGACATAAGGTAAGAAATGGCAACATGGCATTATCCACTGAGCATTTTTGAGGAAAGAAAAACACCTAAGATCACACATATTTTACATAGATAAAGCCTTTAGAAAGGCGTGTGTTGCACTTGTGCGTACAAGTTTTTGTATTTCTTCAAGGCATGGACTACCACGAATCGAATCGCTTTAATGAGTCTATTGGGATATTTTCCAATCAATCCGAGGGCTTCAACTACAACTGGTGTTGTCGATGTCCTCATGAGTCACATTTTTGAGATTTCAGTTTCAAGGTCCGTGTATTTTGATTGTTTTTTTGAAGATCTTCTGCAGGGACTGCCATATCAATAAGTTTTTGTGGTCTTTGATCCTCGATGCCTGGGCGATTAGCTTTGATTGTTCTGTCTGTGTATATTGTAAAGTTCTATAAAAAAGTTACAGGTCCTATCTCCGTAATCGAGTCTGGGTGATAATCATGCCAATTTCTTGCAGTTTCCTTTCCGTAAAAGTTGCATATTTCCCAATGCAGATATTGACCCACTCTGTTATACTGGGTTTATATACAGTAGGTGCCAATACCGTGCACTCTGATACAAGATGGTCAATTGTTTTTGGATATTTATAAAAGAATCTGCATTTTGGGCTAACATAGTTTTTTAATATGTGACCTTGGTAATTCCTAATTAGCAAGAATTGGTCCTGTGCGGCAAGAAAAAAAAACGCGATTTCAGCTTTTAACCCTGCATGACATAGACACTGATGGGTATGGGTTTTGTCGACATCAGCTTGTTTGGTACGGGGGAGAATATTGACCGGGAAGAGGTTTATCCTATTATTTGATTTCATATACTCCACGACTCTTAGATGTTTCAGTCTGGTGATGATGATTATATCTCAGCTCCTACCAGCAGCTTAAAGATACAACACTTTCTTCAGTACATGAGCAGTTCCAAGTCGTGCTGCCATCAGCACACTCCCAATTATGTTCGGTATTTCCAAGGCATCTTTCGAGGCAGAAAGATCCCTGGAAATAATCTCGATTGCACCAGGCACAACAGGGATGACTTGAGTAGCTGCTTGGTATATTTCTCTCATTTACATTGCCAGGTCTCATGCCCATTTTCTTATTTTCACATGCTCCTCCATCAAGATGTCCTTATCCCACGACACCATAACGTCTATCACCTATCAATTCTGAAGCATCTCAGTTCAAATGTCAGCCCTAATTGTATCCAGCCATTTTTGGACTTTGTCTCTCACTGTTTCAAGTGCGCCCAAAACAAAAGGAAGAACTTATAGTTTCTTAAGTTCACAATGGTATGAATTCTCGTGTTTCAAATGTCCCCCTCTTCTTGTTTTCTTTCTCAACTGCCCTTATGCCACTCGGGAACGCTATATCAAGGATCCACCACTGTTTATCATCCTTCTGGAGAGTAATGTATAGCTCTTTAGTTTCTTCTCCTCCTTCTTTCTCCTCCTTCTCCTCCTCCAACTCCTTCTTGTTCTTGTTCTTCTTCTCCTTCTTCCTTTCCCCTCTTCTTGTTTTTTTTTTCTCAACTACCCTTATGCCACAGAGGAACGCTATATCAAGGATCCACCACTGTTTGTAATCCTTCTGGAGAGTAATCATATATAGCTTTTTTTGTTTCTTCTCCTTCTTTCTGCTCTTCCTCCTCCTCCACCTCCTCCTCCTCTTCCTCCAACTTCTTCTTTTTCTTGTTCTTCTTGTTCTTGTTCTTCTTCTTCTTCTTCTTATTATTATTATTATTATTATTATTATTATTATTATTATCTATCGCCACTATTCCAAGATTCAAGCAATTGTTATTGTTATGATTCAGTCGTAATAGTCATCATAATTTTCTCATTCGTATTATCGTGAAATTACTTTCTGATTGAAATGCAAAATAAAGTGAATGAAAAATAAACTCGATAAAAAAAGAAAAAACAGAACATCAATCTTTACGAAAACTAATTTCGAAACCGATTTCAAATGGCTGGACTTGTCATCAAAACTGTAAAATTTTTTTTTCCATCTTGACTGAATTACAAACGCTGTTTCATAATTACTTCCTGGAGGCGACACCAACGTTTACGAAACATTTGATGGCTCTGACCATTCCCTTCCGGTCTATTCATATTTCTTTCTGTTATTAAATTCTTCAGCTCTCACTGATGAGATTGCTTCTTTGTTTTTCTCTTTCTAGTCAGAAAAAATCATTTTATTAGAAATAAATTTCTACTAATCCATAAAAATGATTAATGCTCTCCGTTTCGGAGAAAATACTTCTTTTTTATGTTGAGATTAAAATCTTTCTGACAGAAAACTATTTTATTTACCATGTTTTGATAAATATAGACAGTATTTATTTACTAAGATTACATTAGTTTCGAAACAGGAAATAGTTTCGTATGATGCATACAGAGAGGATTGAACTAGCAATGACCAGCGAGACCATTTTTCTAAATATTTCTCCACAAACAAAAACGGCACTGATAAAAAAAAGGAAGAAAAAATAAGTAAAAAGAAAGAAAGAACAATGCCACTAATAAAAAGCGAAAGAATAAGAAGGAAAGGTAGAAAAAAAAGAAAGAAGAACGAAAAGGAAAAAGAAAAAAACGCCAAGGATAAAAGGTGAAAAAGAAAGAAAGAAAGAAAAACAAAAGAAAGAAAGAAAGAAAGAAAGAAAGAAAGAAAGAAAATAGACGTCACTGATAATAACCGAAAAAATAAGAAAGAAAGAAAAAAGAAAAAAACGCCACTGATAAAAAGCGAAACAATAAGGAAAAAAGAAAGACTGAAGGAAAAAAAAAGAAAGAAAGAAAGAAAGAAAGAAAGAAAGAAAGAAAGAAAGAAAGAAAGAAAGAAAAAGGTCATTGTTTAAAAACGAAAGTATAAGAAAGAAAAAAAAGAGAAAAACGCCACTAATAAAAGGCAAAAAAATATGAAAGAAAGAAAAAAACGCCACCAAAAGAAAGAAAGAATGTCACTGATAAAAGGCGAAAGAAAGAAAGTAAGCTACAGAATTTAAGCGAGTGGGAAAAAAAAGAAAAGAAATATCGTAGAACGGTAATATTAGTCATTTCTTTATGAGGAAAAAGTTGGCATTCATTGAATGAGCAGCCAATACACAGTCATCGGTTAAAATTTATACAATGTTTTTATTAAAATAGTTTTTCACGTAATTATTTTTCTCAAGTTCAGTAACTGTTATCGCTCTTTCCACTCTTGATGGTGGCTTCTTTTCTAACTTCTTGTTTGAATTGGTGTGCATCTGTAACATCTTGATGATGTCATTATTTTCTCTTGGAGTTGCATGTGCTGGTGAAAGTCCTCAAATGATGTTTTCTGTTATTTCGTAAAATTCTTTTTTAATCACTTATCCGAGGAAACGTTTGTATATAACTAATACTTTAGACATTTCTGAACGAATTGGACGCCATGCGAGTTGAACATCCTTATGAGAGGCTAGATATTCCAGACGATTTCAGAACATCTCTAGTTCTTAGGTAATGTGCTGGTTTTGGGCAGCCTATTCTGTACTCAATTTCCTTAAATTTGTTATAATTGATCTATACACCAAGGTTTTGAAATGATTAGTATTTATTAATTTCACATTCTGGATTTTTATGATAAATTCAGTGTTTGTGATATCATTGCTCTCAATTTTTTTTTAATCATTTCACCCCAAGCAAGGCAATAAAGCCACTTTGTCTTCGCTTTGTTATTCATTCGCCCAAACTTATTACGTTGCTTACTCGCCGAGTATCCGTCTCTCATTCCTTAAATTAAATATCTCCTGTGGGTGTTAAATTTATCAAGCCTTCTTTTCTCATAATTTAAACTGACACTTTCTGATTTTAAATATGAGTGCATTTCTAGTTCCCATTTTATTTAGAACTTCCTCCCTGCTCACGTGTACTCTCCATGGTATTCTTGACATGTATCTGTAGAACGACATCTCTGATGCATCGAGATTTCTTTTATTTAATCTGTAATTGTCCATCATCCACTGCCATATAGGAGAATAGCAACTCATAATCTTTTTCTTTTTCCCCATGGGACATTTTTCTATCTTTTAGTAATTCGTTTAGTTTCTGGAAGGCAAAATAATAAAGATTTGTGAAAAGACAGAATGCATTGCATCGGTGTTAGCAAAAGAATGAGTTCAAAGTACAAATTGCAAATAGGAGATGCCAAAATCAAACAAGTGCGGAAATTTAAATATCTGGGAATTGTTTTAACAGAGTACAGAAAGTATGTTACTGGAATCAGAAAGCGTATTGAGATAGCGAAAGATGCCTTCCAAAAGCTAAGCAGAGTATTAAGAAATGGAAAAACTTTTGTTAGAAACAAGGAAAAAGTATTAAAATGTTACATGATATGTCCTCCTTATGGTCCTCAAAGATGAAGACGAGACTTGAAGCAACAGAAATGTGGTTCTACAGAAAGATGCTGACCGAACATGGGAGCAACGATGAAGTTTTTTGAAATCAGAAACAAAAAGAAACTTACACTTGACATCAGGAAGAAAAAAAATGAGGTTTCTAGTGAACATAATGACGAAAGAGGGCTTGGAAAATCTGATACTCACAGGACAGATTGAAGGAAAGAGGTACATAGGAAAACAACGCATAACATACTTAGTGAGCTTGAACAGAATTTAGGAGAAATAACCGAAAAGCAAAACTTATTAAGAGCTACAATGGAGAGGAAGTTGTGGAGAACCATTATCTCCTACGTTCTGAGGGGACGGCACAAGAAGAAGAAGAAGAAGAAGAAGTAGAAGAAGAAGAAGAAAGTGTCATTGTATCATATAAAATTGCTGTCAATTGATCTCCCGTGAAAGCCACTCAGGACTTGGGAAATATAATACTCACAGGATAGATTGAAGATAAGAGAAACAAAAGAAAGCAAACACATGACCTACCTGGCGAGCTTGAGCGAATGTATGAGGTGGGAGTGTTTGGGAGGGATGGCAAAATGACAAATGTTATTAAAAGCTACAAAGGATAGGAAATTGTGGAGAGACATTATCGCCAACATCCTGAATGGACACGGCACATAGAAGAAGATGAAAGACTTAATAATAAGGATTAAGCTGGGGATGTAACAACAATAATAATTATACATTTATAGGGATAGTAATACAATTCAACTGATAACGGCTTGAAACGAGAATCCCGAGAGCCGAGTTCGAATTCCAATCGGGTTAGTTACATTCACTTAGGGGGGGGGGAATGCTCTCATGTAAAGGTATGAATGCATCTTTCTCCCAGCTATCAGGACAGGCTGGGTCCTATAACCTTGGCTGGCAACCAGTCTACTGCAGAAAGAAACGGTTGCTTAACGCGGGAAAAATCTTCTGCTTAGTCAGCCGGGAATCGAAAAGACATGATCGCCTTGTAATATCCATCTTGGTCAGTTGGCAATAGGTTAGTACAGGGAGCGCCCCATATAAACCAATGCAACCTTTTGCATATTGGAGAGGAGATAGGCGCCGTTACTGCCTGGGGAGATATTATCAAGAGGAAATACTTGACATGGCACCCATAAAAAATTTAATAATTCATAGGAAACAAACGAAAGAAATTGTGCGAATATTTTAAGATTTATCAAAATATTTATTCCCAAAATCCTGAGATAATCGGAGATATAAAATTCGAAAAAATTCCTCCATCAATCATAAAAATCTCAAGATCTCTTTCTGTTGTGGAGTAATTTCACGGTGGTGGCTTTTATTTATACTAAGTCGGTTCTAAAATAGGTTCGACGTACAATACGTTAGGAAATTGATATAATAGGTATAACGCAGAGTAATCTAGTTGTGGTCGCTGATGCTTTAGTATTCGACTGTCGTCTGACATCGATTGACTCGTTACTCTTACTACTCCTACTTATTATAGGTGAGAGAGTCTATTAACTATAGAATAGATGTGTTCCACTATAACACTTTCGTTATTTTTAACTTGATTTTCTTGGATACCGTTGTTGTAGTTTATAAAATATGAAATATTCAACACTATTCACATTATTCGGACTATTGTCCTCATCTTTGTCGCCATATTTATTACAACGTTTCGGCCGTTGTACGCTCAAGGACACATGGCACAGTGGATAAAGACGTTAGTTAGATCCAGTGACTGGACCCAAAGAGTGTGAGTTCAATACCTGGAGAACTTGGAAAGGGGAATTAACAGGAAATAACTGACATCCATTAAAAATGGCACGTGGAACTAGAACAGTCTACTCCAGTGAGCGAAATAAAGGACTCAGTTCGACATTCAAACCACCTGAAGAAGGCCGGAACGTTGTAATAAATATGGCGACAAAGATGAGAACAATAGTCCGAATAATGTAAATAGTGTACATAATACCTCATCTCAGAAATATAGACAGAAAATGAGATATTCAAGCAAAATGAATTTCACAATCAACATAGAAACGCATTATATATTCAAGTTGTCTGTCTGTTATCGAACTCCTTCTAGGGTTTTGGAGATAGACACCCATAATCATATATATTCTGAAACTACATTACCCAGGGTACTTGGATAAGTATATTCCATTTGGATCAAAGGGGGTCCCCGGTGGGAGACCAAAGACCCCACTGAATTTTTCCTTTTGATTTAAATTAAATTTAAATTTGAACAAAGGAATGACTCCTATCCAAAATATAGAAGGAGAAAACCAGAAGATGGAGGTCACATCAGCAAGATCAAAATGAGATAATATGGACGTCAAGTTGAGCAAAAAATCACCAATCAGTGGGTAGTGCCTGACAATACATACTTATTGCGACAATTCAACTGTCATGTCAATGTCGAAATCTGCCCTTCAGACAAAGTATTGCATCAAATACATGTGCAAGGTGTCAGATCAAGCTGTTTTTGCACGCACACACACCACTGATTTTTTTCCTTTTGATATAAATTAAATTTAAATTTGAACAAGGGAATGACTCCTATCCAAAATATACAAGGCGAAAGCCAGAAGATGGAGATGACATCGGCAAGATCATTGACTAAAATTGAAATGCATCATTTTTCACCACAAATTATAACATGATTTAAAATCAATCATCATTTTCTTACAAAAAAATGTGTGACACGCAGCTAGGTGCGTATAATTTGGCTAGTACGGTAATAAATGGAACGCTTTTCAGTTTTCATTATTAGCAATTTTTTAAATGACAATTTTATTTGTGAAAAAATAAACCCATTTCAACCAAGAGTTCAAAGTCTTCTGAGTATCATGAATTATTATCGAAAATTAGCCTTCCAATGACAATCTGTGCTTACCGACAAATGTAGATATCTTGCTTGTGAAATTTGAGTATTTAATCAGAGACATCTTGTTACTGACGTCTGGTTCAATTTTGTCTTTTTTTATTACATTTGATCTTCGTAGTAGCCAATTAGTAGAAGTCAGTTTACTCGATGCAATAAATGCGTTCGAAAGAAAGTCTGTGTATTTATAGTCAAAATGAAACGTTTCAATTGAAAGTTGCACAGTTTTATAGTTACAGGTTACTACTTATAATGCCAGTCTATAAGTCTTTTAGATGTCTGTACATTATGATCTCGTAACGAGAAAGATCGAAAACATGTTTATAGAGGCTCGTGATGTTCCAGATGTTTTAGTTGTTTTTTTAACTATTTGCTGATGAAAAAAGGAAGCGACACTAACTTTCTAGTAAACAGTTTATTTTTGTTCAGGCAGCTGTTCTCGGCAATGGCTTATTTCAACATGGAACTTCATGAGGCCGAGAGTTCTTTCAAATAAAAAACGTAAAGTAAAAAATGTAGGCATGATAATCTTAATGTTTTGCACCTTCTAATATCTATTTTATATCTTTATAGGTTTGTCCCTTTACTTTTTATACGAGATAGATAGATAGATAGATAGATAGATAGATAGATAGATAGATAGAAACAAACAAACAAACAAAGAAACAAACGAACTAATGGGTAAAATTTCAAATATAAACAAAATTTTCTTTGCCAATGCGTTTCATTCCTTGGCAGAATAAGTTTCAAGTTAAATGCAAGGATTTTTTTTTATTTTGGTACATGTACTTATAAACAGAAATAAAAATGATAATAAAAATGTTGAAATCGTTAAGTTTATAAATATATTATAAATACATTTATAAATAATACATTATTGCAAAATAAAATCCTTACATTTAGCGTTATAAAGTCACTCAGAGGATGAAACACGTTGATAAGAAATGTTTTCCTTTTGCTTTTATTCAGAAACTATATATATATATATATATATATATATATATATATATATAGTAATGATACAATATGATAATCCGTATGGAATTTCCAGGAGGATATAGATCCAGGGAGAGCTCTATCTCAAAAGAGAGAGCAAAATTATTAATTTAAGAATATCACTTAAAATTCCATCGGTAATAATAAAGATTATTACCTATGAGATTTTAAGTGTTTGATATTATTTAAATAAATAATATAAATATATATATATATATATATATATATATATATATATATATATATATATATATATATATATATATATATATGCACACATATATATTATTATTAAAGATTACAGACATTTTATGTCGATTAATTTTACTGAACAACTTTTACGAATGATCTTTCTCAGACAAGGAGTAAATTTGGTTAGAAATTTGGTCCAAGCTTTCAACTTACTTAAATCATCATCAGGTTAGGTAGAGACAAATGATGAGTGTTGTGACGTAGGCAGAGAGTGTTGTGACGTAGACAGAGAGTGTTGTGACGTAGGCAGTGTTGGGACGTAGGCAGTGTTGTGACTTAGGCAGTGTTGTGACGTAGGCAGAGAGTGTTGTGACGTAGGCAGAGTGTTGGGGCGTAGGCAGAGAGTGTTGGGACGTAGGCAGAGAGTTGGGACGTAGGCAAAGAGTGTTGGGACGTAGGCAGAGAGTGTTGTGATGTAGGGAAAAGTCTGAATTTTTTTTTATTATTTATATGCATTTGGAGATGCGGGCTCTTAGAATATAATTATTTTACTTATAGATAGTTGTATTTTTATGAGCATTGCTTTTTACTATTTGATTTGGCTAGTATTTTTGTATTATTTATGAGTAGCTGTATAATGTTGCTATGCTTCGTATATAAAAGTGGACACTGAGGTCAACATCTATCAGCATCAGTCAATTTCATTGCTGAACTCAGTGTTTAGGCCATCTTCATGGCCTGAAACTTTCGTTCAAGGCACTCACCGCTCGGTGTTTATCTCAGTGTGCACTTTCATATTGGCATACGCACTAAATTATTCCTGTACCATAAATACGGACGATAATGAGTGAATCTACATTCACATAAATACAGTAGTAAATACTGCATGTTGGTCTGCAGTTGGAGATTCGTCTCCAGCTGTGCTGGTCAAACTCTCTGCCTCCGGACAGAGAGGATCCCCTGACGAGGCTCTGTTTTCCCTGTTTTATACGGAGTCTACAGGGAATTTTTGGCCGATCGTACTGGCTCGGATATCCCACATTAAATTCGACCTTGTGCCACATCTAACCGCGTGGGGCGGTTGGTAGATATCATGCAGTTGGAGAATTATTGTGGAATTCACTTCTAGCAGTTGACTACTACTTCTACCCGCCGCTGGCGAATCTTATATGTGTTGTTCGTGTCTTAAGTATTATCGTTCATTACCAACATTCGTTTGATTATTCTATTCAGTAACCTCCCCTAGGTTACAACAACACTATAATTCCATTATAATCATATATATATATATATATATATATATATATATATATATATATATATATATAAACACAGTACATTAAACATTTTAACACTATAATTTGCTCATATATATGAACGCAATCACCAGGCTAGACAATTACGTTCAAGCGTGAAATAGAATGTCTCCTCTAGATGTTGACTTCAATGCGCAGTTTTATATTTACATACATTCTATCCCTGATATCGAGCACTTTAACCCATAAATATAGCATATCTTAAAACTAGATCTTATAAAATGTCACTGTCAGGTAAAAAGAAATAGTTTTACAGTGAGAAAGCGAAAAAGCTGAAAGGTTGTAAAAGCTGACAGATAGTTGAAATGCTAACAAATCCAAACTGACTTCCCAAAATATTCATTCTTTTCCACTCGCTAATTTATTTACTTGCATGAGTGAAATTGGGGAACATCCTTCGTTTCTAATGAAGAAGGCTGGCTTATTTACTTTCACTGACCATCTGTTCATTATCTGCCAAACGATAGTACAACCATCCGAGCTATGACCTACAAATAATACTACAATATTTCCTTAGGGGTTGGAGCCGTTCTAAGGGTGGGTGGGCAGTGTAACAATTGTCAGATTTGAAAGTGGAATCGGCGAGACGAGTTCAAATTCCTAGATGGTTTGTTTCAGGTTGCAGACAATAAGCGGCCCACTATTAAGAATCCTTTTCTTTATTATGATTTTTTTTTTTTTTTTTTTTTGCAGGGATGCTGGGGGTTGCAGAAGATTTGGAGCAATATCAAATAAGAGTGATAGAAGAAAGAATGAGAAGGATAGTGAATAGATCAAGGTAACTGGAGATGTCGATTGACATTACATTTGAATTTGATTTTAGCTCTCAGGGAAACAGTAATAGGGAAGGGTGTTCCACAGGCGAGAGGTGCGAGATATGAAGATATAGGAGTAGAAGATACGGCTACATTTAAAAGTTTCTCCAGTGAAAGGGTGAGAGCGGGATGCCAGCCTCGTATGGCGCTTGAATTCATGACATCTGGGAACCAGTGAAAGCAGCTCATCGGAGCAATTACCATGAAATTATTTGTAGAAAAGACAGAGGCGACAGCGCGTCTGTGAGAGAGCAACTGTAGACGAGATGCCAAATCAGGGCCAATTATATTACATATCCGCCTCTGGATCTTGACAAGAACTCCGAGGTAAACAGAAGGTGCGCCAGACCATATATGGCAGCAATACTCCATGCAAGGGCGAATGGTTGATTTGTATATTTGAAGTATCGATTCTGGGGAGAAAAATTTCCTGGCGCGGCACAGAGAGCCAAATTTCCTCGCGGTGATTGAAGCAATTGACTCAATGTATTTGTTCCATCTCAGGTCAGCAGTCAACGTGAGGCCGAGCAGACGCAGAGAGTTGCTCTCAAGAAATTGACTATCAGACATTCTAATGGGGGGGCGGACAGGGAAGAATCTCTGTGGTGATGAATAGAGAGTAGTTTAGTTTCTGAGGCGTTAAAGTTGACCAGCCAATTCTTGCCCCAATTAACAACCGATTGGAGGTCCATTTCAAGACGACCGGCCAGGTTAGTTTTGTCAGCGACACTAGATTTGTTTTTGAGGCAGGAGTAAATTGTAGTGTCGTGCGTAGATGCCAACTTGGGAATCTATGGCGTCAGGAAGGTCGTTGATGAAAATAAAGAGTGGGGCCAAGAATGGAGACTTGGGGAACACCTGCGTTCGTGGGATAGGAACTGGAGGAGAATCCGTTGAGAACGACCTTCAATTCACGGTTTGACAGGAATGATTGTATTAGGTCAAACAATCGACCTGTAATACCATAACCCTGGAGCTTGCGAAGAAGGCCGGCATGCCAAAATCATCAAACGCTTTGGAGATGTCTAGGGCCACGGCACGAGTCTCGCCGTTATTTTGAAGGGCTTGGTAGACGGTTTCAGTGATGGCTGTAAGCACATCAACTGTAGATCGGGCTTAGCGGAAACCATATTGCTTGTCTGAGAGCAGGTCATGTGAGGTAAGGTGGTTAACCACTTCGGCGTTGATTAGGGCTTCGAAGACTTTGCCGAAGAGGGGTAAGAGTCTAATAGAACGGTAATTAGAGGGGTCTCCAGAGTTCTTAAAGACAGGAACAATGGATGAGGACTTCCAGCAGTCAGGAAAAAAAACAGGATTCCTTGAGGCAGTAGTTATATGGTTTAGAGAGGGCGGGCGCTAGCTCAGGCGCGCATTTCTTCAAGACAATGGTTGCTATGCCATCTCCACCACTAGCCTTGTGGGGGTCTAAATTGGAGATAATGCCCAATACCAATGACGGGGTTATGTGTAACCTGCTCAATAGGGCCTCAGTTCTTAGAGGGAAGTCTGGTATGGGCACACCGGAGAAGTCGAGCATTGAATTAAATGAGAATTTCCTAGCAAAGCATTCAGCCTTGTCAGTAGAGGAGGTCAGGACCTCGAACTGGTTGAACAAAGGAGATATGGGGGGTTTTCTATTGTTCAGGACGCTCTTTCAGAGCCTCCAATAATCTTTGGAGCCAAATTTGCAAGATGCAATACGCTCCTTCATCCGAGTAGCAAATATTGAATTAGCTTCGTTGAGGACACGCTTACACTCGTTACGGGCGGAGGCAAAGAGACGTCTATTACAGTCCGACATGTCGCTACGAAATAGGTGAAAGAAGTGGTTCCTATGGGCAATGACGGCTGAGCAAGCAGCGGAGAACCAAAGGGAGGAGTGCGACTTGACCTTAAATTTCCTTGAGGGGATGAAAGCGTCGATTCAAGAGGGCTTTGTCTATACTGTCAGAATTGCTATCGAGTATCCCACCGTCTTGAGAGAATGGAGAGCGATAGGGGAAGAAGAGACAGCTTACGGCATTGAGGAGAGATAGTACGAATGGTCTGGCGATTCGAGAGACAACTCTCTGATCAGAGGGAGATACTCCTTGACGTAGACACCACGGCCGTGCATGTGGGTTAAAGAGTCTTTCCTGAGGAGAGGAAGGTAGCCGGGGATCGAGAGATCAGCGGAGGGAATAGACGAGACAAGGTTGGTCTCACACAGAGCCAGTATATCCGGGCAGTTTGCAGTAAGGAAAGATTCCATACTGCAGAAATTTGTTCTAATGCCACGGATGTTGTAGAACGAAATGTTGAAGGGTTTAGGTGATTTTTTGAGGGGCTGGTTTAGGATTACTTTTTTTTTTTTTT